TCCCCCTATCCCCCCCGCGGGCCGAGGCTGTCGCGGTACCCGGGTGAGATCGGCGATCTCGGAGCTGAAGTTGGGCTCTGTCTCCATCAGCTCTTCCTCCTCCTCCTCCTCCTCTACGGCGCGCTCATGGTGCGGCTCTGGGGGCAGCGGGGCAGCGCGGGGCTCATGTTCCTCCCCGGGCCCTGCTGCCCGCCGCCACCACCACCACACTTTTATTTTGATTTTATTATTATTATACTTTTTATTTATTTCGTTGCATCGTGCGCGCCACAAAAATTGCATTTTGAAATCGTTTCTGGAGGTGACACTTAAAGAATCGCGAGCGAAAATTTGAATTATTGCCCCTCGCTCCTTTGTTATTCAGGGATATTTCCTCTACGAGGAAACTTTCTCAATGATATTTTTATTATTATTTATTCAGTTCCATCATAGAATCAAAAAATTGCATTTTTAAAATAATTTCTGGAGGTGACCATTAAAAAATTGTGAGCCAAAATTCAAATTATCACCCCTCACCCCTTTGTTATTCAGGGATATTTCCTCTATGGGGAAACCTTCTCTATGATATTTTTATTATTATTTATTTAATTCCATCACAACCTCATAAAATTGGATTTTTAAATCGTTTCTGGAGGTGACCAGTAAAGAATTGTGAGCCAAAATTCAAATTATCGCCCTCATTCCTTTATCTTAGCCTTGTTATTCAAGGAAATTTCCTTTGTGGGAAACTTTCTCAATGATATTTTAATTATTATTTATTTAATTCCATCACGACCTCATAAAATTGGATTTTTAAATCGTTTCTGGAGGTGACCAGTAAAGAATTGTGAGTGGAAATTCCATGTACTGTCCCTGTCCCTTGGTTTGATTTTGTTTTTCAGGGAAATTTCCTTTGTGTGGTTCTGCACATCAGGGCTGGAAATTCAATTGGTGATAATTTCATTTTTAAATCATCCCAAACGGGCCTCAAATGAGCTCCAGATACAGTAAAAAAGTCATCAATTAAAAATTCA